TAAACAACTAAACATAAAGACTGAGGGCCAAAGCCAGAGAGAACCACATCAATCTACGAGTGGCCTAGGAAAAAAAAAAGAAACTAAAGCTAACGCAGTAGAAATACACTGAAACCACTAGCAATCACAATGGCTAAAAGACAATCAACTAAACAATAAGAGAATGTACCACACACTAGAAACTGAACTTCACAAACAGACACTAGTGAAAAGGTTGACTCTCCTTGAGCTAGCCCGAAGGTCCATTTCCTCCCTCCATGCTCAAATAGCTGCTTGAACTATATGAAGTTTTGGTCTCCAAACTCTTTCAAATTTTCACAAATTTCTTGATTTACAAAGGCACCATAAAATATAAGTTGTCAATTGAATTCTGGGTTTAGAAATCATAGATTTATCTAGGTTGCACACTTGGCTCCACCATTTTCAGAATTTGCAAGCTTTTGTGCTAATCCCGTCCCAGCTTATGGGAGCATGCTTCCAAGTCAACCTTGCTCTCATGCAATTGAAGAAGACTCGTTCTATGTTCTCCTCTCCTTAACTACAGTCTTTACAATTGATATCCACTTGTACTCCTCTGTGTTTCAGGTTCACATTAACTGGGAAGATGCCATTAACACACTTTCATACAAAGTGTTTTATTTACCTGGAATCTACAAGGTCCAAATCCTGTGTTTGACCAATTTCTCTCTGCCTGCTATTGAACTACCCTTAGCGATGTCAAGTTGGAGCAATTTCTTACTCATCAGATATGAGTAAGAAGCTGCAACACTAAACTTGCCTTTGGAAATAAAATTCCAACTCCACATGTCCTAAGAAGGATTAAGAGAGTTCAAGATTATTATTGTGGAGCTATACTCATCTTGAAACATTGATCTCACTTTCTGATCATTCCACTGGTATACACCTTCCACTAGTAACTCATTCACCCACATCTATCGATCTCTTTCTTCATCCTTGAGCAATGGTTTTCTCCTCCGCCCACATGGAATCTAGTTGTAATCATGTACTCTTACAACGGTCATTTTTTACTTCAACTTTCAGTCCCTCTTGTAAGAGCCATCTGACTTTCCACCAACTCCTCTACTGCCAAGAAGAATTACTATTTATCTTTGCTTAAAAAATGGAACTTTGAGGGAAATACCTGGTTTTGAGCACTCTACTAATCAGTAAGTCAGGTTCAGTGACTATTCTCCACATTTGTTTCACTAGCAATACTTGATTGAACAACCCTATATCTTTAAATCCTTGTCCTCCTTGATCTTTTGAAGTGGTAAGTTTGTCCCAGCTTTTCCAATGGATGCCCATCTCTTTGTCTTCTCCTTTACTCCACCAGAAATGGGTAAACATTTTGGCCATCTCTTTACAAATCCCCACTGGAAGCTAGAAACATGTCATCACAAAGATTGGCAATGCATTTAGAACTGCATAGATCAACACTACCTTGCATGTTGAGGAAAGATACACATTCTTCCAATAGATAATTCTCTGTCTGACTTTCTCTACAACATAGTTGAATACTTATTTCTTGGCATGACCTATCCCCATTGGCAATCCCAAGTATCTGGTGGACCTCTGAACTTGGATAACTCTAAGAACTAATATGGTGGCTTGTTGCTCTAAGTTGGAATTTTTACTGAAAAAGATGGATGATTTGGCCAGATTCACTTATTGACCTGAAAATCTCTGGTACTTATTCAACATTCCTACTAGCACTCTTGTTTGATGAGAATCTGTTTTGCAAAAAATAAGGTGTCGTCAGCAATTAATAAATGTGAACGAACCGATCCATTTATAGCCAAAGACACTCCTCTGAACTGACCCCTTTCCACTTCTGATTTAATGAGAGCAGACAATAATTCTTGGACTAGAATGAATAAATAAGAATATAAGGGGTCTCATTGTCTTACTCCTCTGCTTGCATCAAAATATCCCCACACTTCTCCATTAACTAACACAGAAAAGGATGTGGTAGAGACACATTCCATAACCCACTTCACAGATTGCTGAGCAAATCCCATTTTGAGCATAGTCTGGTTTATACACCTCCATTCCAACCTGTCATATGCCTTGAGCATATCCAACTTTAATAGCCATGTAGTTGTGTTTCTCTGTTCTTTGTCTGTTCAAAAAAAAATGAAACACCTTTGAGCTGTAACAACATTGTCACTCAACTTCCAGTCTGGAATAAAAGTTGCTTGAGTTTTATCAACACAACAATATAAATAAGATTTCAGCCTGGCTGCCAAAATCATAGATATAATCTTGTACACGTGCATAGACTAATAGACCTAAACTGACATAGACTAATTGGCCTGAATTGACTGAGGGTACTTGGATTTTGCATTTTGGTATCAATGTTATTAGAGTGTGGTTCCAGTATCTCAATAATCTCCCAGACATAAAAAAGCTCTCAACATCCTGGCATAAATCTATTTTGAGCAATGGCAAAAAATGTTGAAAAAACAAAGCTAACATACCATCTGCTCCTGGTGCCGTCAATGAACTCAGGCTGAAAAGGATTTGTCTTTATCTCCTTATCAGTCAGGTATAAGAAGCTCCTCAATCATCTGTGGTGAGATAGTGGTTGAAATATTCTGCGGAAGTTCATCTCCTTCACTTGAGCCCTCTGAGATGAAAAGCCTGTCATAGAAGTAGGAGACATACTTCCTTAGTTCTACTTTGTCCTCTATCAAAATGTATTGCCCATTCACAAGTATGTTTATTTCATTGAGTTCCCTTCTTTACATAACATATTCATAAAATAATCTAGTGTTCTTGTCCCCCTCCTTTAACCAATTGATTCTTGCTTTTTGTTGCCAATACACTTCCTCAGACTGATTTTATTGATCTATCTCTCTGTGGATCTGATCCCATACTTTTCAGTTCCTGTCACCAGTTTCTCTTCTCATCTTCTCTAATCTGAGAGTCAGTATTGCCATTTTGCTATCCTTCTTTTCCTTAATGAATTTGCTCCAATTCAGCAGAGCTTCTCGAGTTTTCTGTAATCTCTCCTTAACTCTATAAAAAGGTGTTTCTATTTGAGGATAATTCCAAGCTGACTTGACTACCTCAACTATTTCTGCATTGTTCAGCACCTTCTATCAAACTAGAATCTTTTCTTAAATTTCTGTCGCTCTGGTTTAGAATCCACAACTAGCAGACAATGATCTGAAGAGCTTTTATAGCATTAGTGACTTGAATGTTGGGATGTGTAATAAGCCAGCCTAATGATACAAACATCTTGTCAAGAACTTCTTCAACAAATCCCTCTCTTTCCCTGTTGGTGCCCCAAGTAAATGGGTAACCTCTGACCTTCATTTCTTGCATTGACATGTTGGCTATGAACTCTTCAAAACCTTCTAAGTTCCCAGTTGATCTTGCTTTGCCCCCTCTTTTCTCTTCCACGCTACTGATATTATTTCAATCCCCTACCACTGTCCACACATTTCCCCGTTGCAATTTCATGAGTTCAAGATGCTTCCACTGCTCTTCTCTAATTCTTAAGTAAGTACCTTTTTTTTTCCGAAACGATAGATTCATTAAACGAAAACACATAATTACAGCCGGTGGACAACCGGAATAGGAGGTGCTCATGGAGGCCAGCCTAAAAGCTACAACACACACTGCATCACGAAAAGAAAATTAGAAGCTCCCCACAGGAGAATGACACTAACTCCCCACGGGAGAATAACACTCTCCTCCAAAGGAGAAGAAAACAAAATATAGACACAAACAAGACAAAAGAAACACAACAAACACAACAAAACTACAAACACAATCACAAAAGACAATACAGAGAAATACGGAAAAGCCCTTCTCACGGTCGGGAATACGCCAAGCAATCACGACTGTAATATCAATGGCCGACCACCCATACGGACCGGAACTCGCCCTAGACTCAACACAGAAACTGAAACTTTCGCACCTAACTGGAATTAGGCCCTAGAAACTTGCCCCTGCACCCGAGTAGTCGACCCCACCCTCAGCCGAAGGAAACCTTACCAAACCCCAACACACCACCATTGCTCCGAGCTCTGCCCACACCATGGACCACAACTCGACGCGCCAGCAGCACCTTCGACCCACGCACCGGAGACCAAAGGAAAAGAGGGGAAAGATCAAATTACCTCTACTCCGACCGACCACAGCAATCCGGCTGTCGGAGCCACCACCCATCGCAACAGAAGCATCGCGACCTCCGCACCACCTGAGAGATTGAATGGACCACCAGCTCGAAGAGGCGGCCGGGAAGGATGCCGAAACCTCTTGGACCGTCGCCCACCCCGCCAGCTCAAGCGACCGAAAATCGAAACCACCGAGAGAAAGTCGTGCAGCCATAGGCCATCGACCGCCGGAAGGGCCGGCGTCCCGCCGGAGAAGGCAGGAAAATCGCAGATTTAGGCAAAGAGAATTTGGGGTTTATTGGTTTCGGGGAGAGAGATATATAACCATACTCGTTTGATTATTTCCTTAAGTCAGTACTAATAGACAAAACAAGCACAACTAGCTTCCTCCCGATTCCGACAATTGAACTGCACCTCTATACAAAAGGAGTGTTTTCTCAGTTGAATAACAGTCACTTCACTCCACAAAAGGAGGAGACCTCTACTTCTTCATTTTAGTTATTAGCTTTTTTTTCCTATAGTTTTTATGTGATTTTGTAATCTTTTTCTCCCTTTTGGAAGTCATATTCTCCACATGTGGGAGTTGTTATTCTCCAGCTGGAGTTCAATTTTTTCGAGTGTTCTGTTTGCCAGTTTGTGTGTTCGAGGTTACTGGAGGACTAGATAGAGTTGGGTAGCTGATTCGTCTAAGTAGTTGTTTCTAGTATGAAATTTATTTATAAAGTCTATCATCCCGAAAAAAATAAATAACTAAAAAAACTGCCTTATGAAGTATATTTATATTAGATAATCTTAAAAGGAAAAAGGAAAAGAAAAAAGCACCAAGATTGAGAAATAAAAACAAAAATCAAACACATAAACTAGGTTGCGCCTATGCTAGAATAGAGTCATATCTGCTGGGGGTCCATAGACACTCTGCCATGAGAATGGCATTATCCACTTGTCAGCACCATCGCCTGTACAGAAATGGCCAAAAAAAAGGAAGGAAATAAATTAACTAGAGTTGTCGGATTCGGATGCAACCCGAGTATCACATTTGGTGAAATTACAAGAAAAAACTGCATTAGTATTCAAGAATCATAAATACTTCTTAGAAGTGTTACAAATACCCCTTCAAGGTGTGCATCCACCAACAAATAACCACTCTTGAGGTGTAAAAATGTAGAGACGTAACGGATGACTGCTTGTTTTGTTGATTTGAAATACAATTTGTGTGTTTTTGCATGAACTAATTTTATCTACAATTCACGTCAAGGACATAGGTTGGGTCCTGGATATAATATGTTAACTGGTGCAAATGAAAACACAACAAAATGCATTTAAAATATGGGTCGTTACTTCGTTTCTCTCTAGACCAACACAAAATTATGCAATTTTTTGTTTGAATGACCTATAAATTATATAAGTGCATGGAGATGTTTGTTATGAGTCTGTAACATGTGAACCGCTGGGGTGGAGGAAAACAATTAACAAAGACAAAAAGAAGGAAGATAAGTTTCCATTCGTGGGTTGGGTGAATATTATTAAATCACCTTCGAACTCCTTATTGCTAAGTCCAGTAAATACGCATGCTGCCTCAGCCATGGAGAAAGCTTCAGGTATGTTGTCTCCCTCAGAGCAGTAACACAGTACACAAGTAACTTTGAGACCTTTAGCCTATACAATCATAAGAATTGTTAAAGGCAATATGATATTAATAACCATACATTATGCTTAGGCACACATTAGAAGTAGACACAACATAAGAAGAAGGGGCTTTCCAGAAAACAAAATATATGTACTGTTAAAATTCAGATAAATTGGATATTTCCATGTAAACTGATATTTTCATTTCATTTTATTTTAATTTTTTTTTTCTTTTTTAAGGAAACAAAGAACCGAGAATTGGACCTTAAAGCAGGAAAATAGTGCAGCAAATGGCAAACTAGGATAATAATCTTCATCTCCAAGTTCCTCAAAAGGAAAATCTTCATCAATGATGGAACTATCTGTAGCTAATGTCTCAAGATATTTCCATGTTCTTTGGTCAGGATTGTAATCTTGCAGTCTATTCCACCCAAGACGTTCACAGTCAGAATCAGTCCCATCCAAACTCGAACTGGATAAGTAGTATATCTGCAAGCCGCTGTTAAATATCTGAGAGATTAAGGATTTTCCTAAATCTCGTCTAGAGAAAGTTCAGAACTACAAGCATACGCATAAAATTAGTACATAACAGTTCCATCGAACTAATCCGATATAAACTACATATGAATATACTGAGATCTGAAAATCTTTGGTTGTAGCGTTAAACAATACAATCTCCATTTATCTAAGGTCTACTTTAAGATAATTCAAAGCAGAATATTAACTGAGAAAAATGCACCAAGTAAGAAATCAGCAGATTTTTCACACAAAGACCTCGAACATTGTTACCAGATCAACATCAACAAACACACTAAACTGTAGATTCTGCCATATAATTTAGAGCTAAATCTGTAAAGGAGACAATACCTGGTCATATTAATGTTTTTCCATCTACCAAAATCCAAACTAGAGAGTATGACGATGTGCTTCTTGCCGTTTGCCACTGCAAAATTTGCCATGTTCTTAGCATATTCGATCATCATACCCTGCATCCACAACAATATCAGTAGTCCTTGTGGTCGAGCTAAACATCGTCATTAAGTGTCCAACAGAGCTACAAAAATGACCCAAATTCATGGACTTTAGCTTAATTTCAACGATCGAAAAAAGTAGCATACGCAGAAAATGAACAATCGCGTAAACGAGCCAACCATAACACGATACCTTACTAACTGGAGACCTCTGTTGCACAAGTGACAATGCACTAGAAGATGATTCATATGCTGCAAATTCACAAGTGTACAAAGGATGAAAAACCATTGTGAACCCAAATGAAGTCATCGAAATAAAATATCTAATGAAAATTTGAAAAAAATAGTCCTTGAAGGCACCTTCGAGGGGGAGAGCTAATTTTCCAAGAGGCGACGATGAATAAGCATCATTGCCAACACAAGGAAGCACATTGGGATCGTCCAAATACCCGATTTTCTCAGCTTTTAGCGACGAGATTAATAGATCCACGG